AGGACTGGTTGGATTCCAGCGCCATTCGTCACCTACTAAAACAAATGCTGCGATTCATCCATCTGATCACTCATCGTGTTTACCATATGTAAAATACTGATATATTATTCCCTCTAAAAAGATTCCAAGTTAGCTTCAACGGTATGAACATATTTAATTCGCGTCTTCATCACGCGTGAAGACAACTGTTTTTGGCTGGTGCCTACAGAAAATGGCTAAAAATTGAGTACAGTGTTCATGTAGATAAATATTTCTGTAAACCTATTATTTGTTGCATTAAAGTCATGTTCCATGAGAAATTAGACAACGCTCGAGCAGTGCTAACTTAGTGTAGATTTTATCTCTATTTCAGTCAAATGAGGGAAATTTGATTTCATAAATAAAATAACATTATGAAAGAGACGAATATTTCGGACAGGTCAGCAAAAGGTACTCGAGTAGTAAAATATGAAAGGTAGACGAATGGTCGAGGTTCAAAAGGCATACATTAAGCTGGTAGGACTGCTAAGCATTTTCAGGATTCACCACGAGTACAGTAGCGAATTAGCAGTAGAGACAAGATAAAGTATAAGAAATGCAGCAACAACTAAAAAGTACAACTTCTCGGCAGTAAATTAGAGCTTTCTATCCGAGTAGACCATTGTTGTCTTCTTCCTTACAGTTACGCATGGCCTCTTCCAGAAATCCTAAGTATGAGAATAACGGAATATGCTTAGAATTAGTAGAATTGCCATAAGCTAACCTCTCTTCATTTCTCGCACAATGACTGTCATTAACTTATTCCATCCCAAACGTGCTAAGCAATTTTCGCCGCTGTAAGGATTTGCTAAGTCCTAAACAAATAAAATTGTGTATCAACTCTTTTACTTCACTGAAAACATACAGGAACGATTATTGTATCGTTTTCAGTTTCAATCTTAATGAGACCATTCTGTTCTGGATCAGTACTGCAGTCTGTCTTTCCCGTGGTTACCTGGTCAACCGTAACTCTCTTGAACACCAACCAGTTGTCAGCTCCAAAGTTCACTCCTCTGAAAACAAGCTAGATGCTTCAGTATGCCCAAGGCTGAACGAAAAACGCTAGCGCCAAATTTGGTCACTTATTGCAAAACAATCACCTAATTTTCACGTCTTCTGTTTCTATTCAGTTTCACAACCAAACAGTTTTCCAGAAAAGTATCTCCAAAACCAGTTT